TGTTGCTTTTCTCCAGGGAATCATGATGATGCTCTGGGCTGTTGTTAGCGCTCTCACTGCGGTTTCTAAAGACTTTACGGGCCTTCTCCTCACCCGATTCTTTCTCGGAGTCACCGAAGCTCCATACTATCCCGGTGCCGTCTACTTGCTGAGTATCTTCTACACCCGAAAAGAGGTTGCCACTCGCATTGCTATCCTCTATACCGGGAACATTCTCGCCACTGCTTTCGCTGGCCTGATTGCGGCCGGGATCTTCCACGGCATGGATGACCTTGCGGGCATTGCAGGCTGGAAGTGGCTGTTCATCCTTCAAGGTGCCGTTACGTTCGTCATTGCGGTCATCGGCTTCTTTCTACTCCCCGATTTCCCTCAGACCACCAAGTGGTTGACGCAAGAAGAGCGCGACCTCGCCTACAACCGTATGGAACTCGACACCGTCGCCAACAAGGGCGAGACCAGCACCTGGAACGGTCTGCGTCAAGCTGCCAAAGACCCCATGGTGTGGATCTTCTGCGCGATGGCCCACATGCATCTGGCTGCCAACGGTTTCAAGAACTTTGTAAGGCTATTATAATCCCGAATCAACGTGTGAGAGGGGAGAAGACTAACAACAAATTCTTCAATAGTTCCCAAGCGTTGTGAAGACACTCGGCTTCAATACGACCATCACCCTCGTGCTCACCTGTCCTCCCTACCTCATTGCTGGCGCAGTGACCATTGCAGTATCTTGGTCGTCAGGCAAGTTCAATGAGCGCACATGGCACATCACCGCGTCCAAGGCCGTCGCGGTTGTCGGTTTCATTTCAGCCACTGCCACACTGAACTTGGCGGGTCGATACGTCTCCATGGTGATCTTCACCATCGGTACATATGGAGTTAACTCGGTGCGAATTATTCTTTCTTCAACCTCCTTAGGCTATCACAGCTAATTCCGGAAACAGTTGATCCTGGGTTGGTGCGGCAGCGTCTGTGGTCAGACAAAAGAGAAGAAAGCAGTGGCCATCTCCATGGTGACCATGATCATGAACGTCAGCTTCATCTGGACCCCATACCTCTGGCCCAGCAGCGACGAGCCTCGTTATGTAATCGCCATGTCAAGCAGCGCCGCGTTCAGCATTGCGACTGCTCTGCTGGCTTGGCTTGGAAAGATCATCTTGAAGAAGCGCAACGAGAAGCTCAGGGCTTCCCCTGATGAGACAACCGTCTTTTATGTCTACTGAATGGAAACCTTGATACGATTTTCTTGCAGGCGACTGCTCTTTTGCACACTCATACACACTCATTTAGAAGTATCACTACGGCTACGTCTGTGTTTGGAGCTGCTCATGTAAACATGCCGTAGTACCGTACTCGAGTAATGATATTCGTGTTTTGCCTCTGACCTTGCATCAATCGAATTTCAGTTTGATCTTGTCATCGCGCCTTGCCCCCGATATCGACTTCGTATTATTGCAGTTCAATATGAGGATTGGTGTGGTCGTTGGTTGTGTTTTCATGGGTACCGGCTTAAGTATGGGTAAGATGGTCCACATATTTCTATCTGCTATCTCAATAAAGCTGCTACAGCTCGACATTATTTCTGTGGAAAATGCGTTTAGCTGCAAATCCTCGCTCCTCGTTGGGAGATGACACTTAGGTGATGTGGTAAGCTGACGCGACATGGCTCCAGTCAGTTCGCGTTCGCATCTCTAATAGGGCAGCTGATGTCAAGGGTCAGATTTTGATGCCGTTGAAGGAACATCGGATAAGGCCGAATTATGCTGCCTACGCTGGGATCGACGGATGTGGGTAGACAAGCGAGGCGGTTGGGGTCGCCATTACTTGCTTAGCCTATTTTGACAGGAGGTATCTCTATTGTAGCGGCAACCTTTAAATGTCAGCCCTACCGCTCCTCTTTTACGCCGCTTTGAATTCTCCATTGAATCTTGTTGAACCGTGGAGTGTGAAGCACTCGACATTGCCAGCATCGACTGCACAGTTCTACTAGAATAGCATAATCTCGGCCTTCTATGGCAGGTAGAGCCCTTCAAAAGCCAACCACGCCGGTGGCTCCGGTCTCGGCGCCCCAGATCCTCAGCTTTGCCCTCAGTGACCGGCCAAAGGTAAATCGGAGACAAGCTCCGAAGTCTCGGGCAGGCTGCATCACATGCAAGTGAGTTACGAGCAACGTGAAGACACAAAAACCGCATCTGAGATATGCGTCCTGATCAACTATCACCGATGCTTGTGATGCGGCGAACTAACGTATTCATTAGAAAAAGACGAATCCGGTGCGACGAGGGGAAGCCATCCTGTCTAAATTGCGGCAAATCAAAGCGAACTTGTGAAGGATACGCACCAAAGTCCACGGGAAACGAGTATAGACTACAGGAATACCGCCCACTGCTCATTCGACCCAACTATGAGACGTACATGTTCACTGCACAACTCGAGAAAGATCAATTTGAGTATTGGATGACATTCAGCAAGCAGTTTACACTGTTTCCGTCCGATCTCATCACGCAGCTCATACCCCAAATTGCCCGTGAAGAGCCGGCCATCAGACACGCAGCGTTTGCCATTGGTGCAGCTACTTTGGGCAGCGATAATCGCCTACAACGCACCAGTGGCGCGGGTCCATTCATGAAGGATGCCTTGCAGCATTATGGAAGAGCCATTCACATCATTCGATCCAGCGCATCATCAAAGAGAAGCATCCCTCGCGCTCTCCTTTCCTGTATTCTCTTCGTCACGTTCGAAGCCATACAGGGCAATCATCTAGCTGCACTTACTCATATAAATCACGGATGTAGTATGCTTGATCAAGTGATGAAACAGGGTGTGAGTGGAGAATGCCCTCCAAAGCTGATTGATGAGGTTATCTCGGGATTTCAGCGCTTCACCCTGTCATCATGGACCATGAATGGCCATCATCCGTCCGAGACTGAAACCTGGGTACCTTGGTGCTGCCGCGGAAGAAGAAGTCGCTATGCAGTCGACGAGCTACCAAAGAGCTTTGCAACACTTTCAGAGGCTCATCGGTGGTGGGAGGTTATTCAACACTTCATCATATATCATACACAGATGCATTCAGCGTTGCACTTTGAAGACCTGAGGACCCCCACAAACCTGACCAAGATCCCTGGGTATCAAGTCAAGAGATACATGGGCATCCTCGATCGGTGGCACGTCCGGTTCGAGGCGTTATCAACGACACAGTCTTCGTCTGAAACAGCGCACAATGAGCGAGCACGCCTACAAACGCTGAGTCTTCAGCTTTTATATAAGTCGCTCGCCATATCTGTGAAAAGCTCTCAATACACAAACACAAAAGTCCTAGTCGAGTCGACAGAGGAATTTAGTGAGATACTCGGTATGAGTAGGATCGTCCTCGAGGGACAATCGAGTATGGATCAATCCAGAGAGGTTTTCACTATGGACACAAGTCCGAGCTGGGCCATTCTTTCTGCGAGCATCTACTGTGTGGATGCACACGTTAGAAGAGAGGCACACCGTCTGCTCAGGGACTTCCCCCGCCGTGATGGCATCTGGGACACGAGATTATTCGCCGCCATCTCAAAGACGAGCCAGGACCTACGCGCAGAAAACGATTGGAGTGCCGACGATCATTTTGGTGCGGTTCTGGTCAACAAAGAGGTTGTCATATACAAAGATGAGGTGTGTAGGAGGAAGTATGAGCTAGCAGACGGTCAGTGGCGGATCGTGGAAGAGCAAAGGATACCGCTGGGTTTGGAGTGATTCTATGTATCACCGGTTGTTACCAGGCACTCAACTCTAATTACATGTACACATGAAGGCGGTCACTGTCCCTTGAATGAATCGTAACTGAAACACCTGGCAGCTTCGTGTTGCTAACCAGAAGAAAGTGAGCTTACTGAGGATTTTGGCAAGTTGCGTTAAAGACAGCTATGGAAATTAGTAATGTAGTCTTTAAGAGAGGCTTCGAAGCTGCGATCTTTTTGTCCCCCAAAGATGAATTCGTAGGTTCCATGGTATGTATTGTCGCATAAAGAGGCAAGACTTCCTAGGACACAAGCTCGTTCTAGGTGTACGCCCTCATTATCAAAGTTGCCAAGTCAGCCAGCAAAGGCCATGCACACCTGGGGTCTTTCAAGGTTAATAACAATTCTTCCTGAAATTTGGCTATCGGATAGGTGAATACTAGCATCGATGAACCTCATGGTCTCGTTCTGCGCGGTCGGATTTCTGCTCACGTGGATTGGCGGCACTCAGCCATCTACGCCTGCCATACGGAGTACAGATTTATCAAATATAACGACACGTCGTTATCGGAATGCTTTGAAGTCGAGTTCACACTCCCTGAGGGTCCGGGTTCAAAGACATCGGGCAATGTAATAACACTGTAATCTGGAAGAACGGCATCGGTATCTAAGACTCAGCAAGTCAGCAGGATGCTGGATACTATCCTATCTCAACCCAATCTCTACGATTCGGCCTTATTATCTGGCTTATCTAAAGATTATCAAAGTTTTTGATATTTGAAGCTGGAGACTGACCCGTTTCAAGGAGAACGATCTTGCGGAATTCATCTTCCGCGCGGTAAGGTGTGGGGGTTATCTTCTCATCCCCAACCCATACACGACTCAGTGTTTACGCAACCGTTGTCGTGTCTTTACTTGACAGGACACCTAACTTCAATCTCTACCAAATGATTGCGATGATAAGATAATAGCAGTCTTTTATCTTGGGAGTGGAACATCGTGGGGTACCGAAGGTGGGAAGGGTTGATAGATTGGCGCACATTGGTGTACTAATTCGTGTTATCATCCGAAGATGATTTACGTGCTCCTCGCTGTGTAGGGTGGAAATCGATATGCCGTGCCCAATGACGTACAAAGTATAGAGAGACCTTCAACCATACTAGACATTGAAAAGAAGCGTTCGCGCCTCACCTCTGAGACTGAGTCGCGGGAAGAGCCAGCAACATGTTCCTAGCAGCTGTGCCATCCAGCCAACTGAGCCTCGCACGCGTAGAAACGATGACCACAAAACACGAAAAGCCCCATTCAGTCGACCTTGAGAACAAGCTCGGCGACGACGTCGACAATGTCTCTCTCGAAGCAGGCTCTCAAAGCCTTCCATCGAAGAACTGGCTTACCAGGTTACGGAACGCCTTGTCGAGCTGTGCGGAGACTCGAGGCGTAGCACCTGTTCCGATTGAGGAGAGAAGCGATAAGGATACTTTAAAACTATTCACGTTGTGGCTCACTGCAAACTGCACTACCCTCCCGTATGTTTCGAAGTGTCTTCCTGAATGATCGCACCTCCGCGTGTAAGACTTGCTCTAGTTCGCTAAGCTGATGAGAACCATAAGCATGACCACTGGCATATCCGGAACCCTGATCTTTGGACTAGATCTTGTTGTTGCTTCAGTAGTCATCGTGCTAAGCACCCTCCTATTCATGCTTCCCGTTGCCTGGATGGGCATGATGGGGCCAAAGACTGGCATGCGTCAAATGGTTCAGACAAGATACTACTTCGGGTATTACTCAATCTCACGCTTGATGAACGTTTCTTCCGTTGTAGCTAACTCGGAAACCAGCTACTACTTCTCCATCGGCATTGCGCTGCTACAAATCGCCACCTTGATCGGGTACACCATCATGACATCTATTGTCAGTGGGCAGACTCTCACGGCTGTTTCTGAAGGCGACCTCAGCTTGGCTGTGGGTATCACAATCAGTATTGTTGGCGCACTGCCCATATCCTTCTTGGGCTACAAGTATCTGCATTACATTGATCAATACCTGTGGGCTCCGTCTTTCGTTGCTCTCGTCATTGTTGCCGGCGTCAGTGGCAAGTCACTTGCTGTTACGGGTGCCGAGCCTGTTGCGATCTCACCAAGGAGTGTCTTGACATTTGCCGCTGCGTGTGCAAGTCTGTGTACTAGTTGGGCTCCGTTGGTATCGGATTTTGCCGTCTATATCGACCCATCCACGCCAAGGTAGGTCTTGCGCATCACCGAGACTGAACTAGGCTTACGCCATCTACGACAGAATCAAGATCTTCTTATGCGTGTACGCAGGGTACAGTGTCCCTTCAATTCTTCTACTCATTCTAGGTGCCGCTGCAGGTGCCTCTGTGCCAGCAAACGAGACTTGGGCTCAGGCTTACGGACTCTACTCCGTCGGTGGTATCATCAATGCCATGAACTCTCCTCTAGGAGGATTTGGAAAGTTCGTCTCGGCCCTGTTGGCGTTCTCCGTGCTTGGTCTCACGGCGTGCACTCTATATTCGCTCTCCATTAGCTTTCAGTCTCTTCATCCGATTCTCAGTCGCCTTCCCCGGTCCCTATACTCGCTTGTTATTGTGGCAATCATTGTGCCCATCTCAATTGTTGCCAGCTCCAACTTTTACAACTCTCTATCGAACTTCCTGAGCGTCGTTGGCTACTGGACGGCTTCGTACACTAGTATCGCGCTTACTGAGCACTTCTGCTTTCGTCGGGGCCGGTATTCTGCGTACAACGTCTCTGACTGGGATAATCCAAAGGCACTCCCGCTTGGATTCGCGGCCTTGGCATCGCTCTGCTTTTCTTTTGGACTGATCGTCCCTTCTATGGATACTGCGTGGTATACTGGACCCATTGCAGTACGGACCGGCGATATCGGTATACAATTGGGAATTGCTCTTAGTTCACTGATATATATAGTGCTGAGAGGTGCCGAATCACGATGGAAAGGTGGAGGTAGATCACCTTAGTAGAAGCTTTGGGTACTTGCCATCTCCCTCACCATAGTCTCCGAACTTTTGAAGCAGTTTGATTCCCTAAAAAAAAAGAAGAAAAAAAAAAGAGGATGCAGCTTCACTGTCACTTGCTCAGAACTGGAGACCGCCGTTCAGAGGAAGTGAGTGGTATCGACATTATCACCGAAGGCGGTCTCAGGGTCCCCTCAATGGACTTCCGTTATGCCTGCCACATAACTTTACCGTAGTAATTTGAATAAAGTAGCCTCCACGTAGTGGTCGGCACACCCTCGAAGTGTCGCGTCGCTTGATGGCTGACCTCATCAACCCAGCGAATGTCGTGCTCGCATCAGGTGCTCAAAGACTCCTCGATTGCACTTAAGAGCAGTGCCTACCCAGTTTTTCTTTTGCAATTAGACAACTTTCTGAACCTGTCAATCTTTCCATTGATAGTCGGTTGGGTTCTCCTAGCCCTCTCACGACAGCTAAACCGGACGCAGAGCGGTGCGTTGATGTTCCTAACTAATTTCCGGCGTGCGACTTCGCCCCATTTGGCGGCCTTTGCAGTTGCCGACAAGATTGCGAGCATATCTACGCACGACTTCAAGAATAAGCAATAATCTATCAGGCGCTCTCGAAACATATGTATAGCAAACGGCCCGAACGAAAAGTCCAAAGCAATCGAAAAGAAGTGCCACGTCAAGCGTCGGAAAATGCCCGGCTTCTTGTGAAAGCAAAGAGTGCGTCTGGGCCCAGAAATCCGCTGCGACTCTGCGGAGAAGTATGCCGACCATGTCCTGGGCCCCGGCCGACGGCCGCCGTTGAGATGGAAAAGCAATGGGATGCACGAGATCGGGGCACTGTCAGTCTGAGCTGCTTGCAGGGGGAAAAGAAAAGGTAAGAAAACAAAACCAAAAGACCTCCGCAATCATTGCGAGCCGGAATCAAGCCGCCCGAACGGCTGTCGCAAGACCAAGATTCCATTCGGGTCGCAGCCGACGTTACTCTCTCTCCTCCCATACGGAAAAAACAAGGCACTTAGCGCCGACGTCGAGTCGCCTCGCCGGTCACAAGCAGCCTCGGGGGCTTCAGCTCGGAAATTCTTGGACGTTGACGATCCCCTCTCAGGTCTCAATTCTCATTGCTAGACGGGTCATTGGAAACACACCAACTCGCGTGGTGCGACGCTTGCTGGCTTGAAAGGGGGGGGGGGGGGTCAAGGACCCGGCATTCAACAACGGCGCGGAAAAGCCAAACGCGACGGGAACTCTCACCATTCGCCATAGAAGACTCTAGGCCATTGTTTGCCGAAATTTGCATCGTCACAAGACTTACGCGACTGGCTGTGAACCACGTTGCCTTCCAATCTCCATAGAGTCGACTCGTGGGAAATCTCAGCAAGAATCGAGGAGGGACGTTCTTCATCAATATCAGCGAGGGAATATTAGTGGTTCGAAGTCTCATCCCCACAGAACTAGGCAGGCCAGGGAGCGACCGTCTGTTCACAGACCGTTCTGCCGTCAGTGCCGCGAGGCGAGATGAGGTAGGCAGATCTTTCTCGGATGGCTTCGCACGCACGCACGCTCAGGTACGACACGCGCCGTTCACAGAGCTACGGCCTCAAGCATCCACTGTCGCGCGCGGAGCTTCGTGGCCAGCTAGGTGAATAGTGTACGGAATAAACGTCTTGGAGGCAGAGCGCCATGTGTGATGCAAGAGGAAGTGTGGCACAACCTCAAGCTCTTCCCAAGCTAAGGTACTTGACGCCACGCCACGATGGGCTACTGTACAACGAGTACGTGTCGGTGGCAATCAACATCTCTTCACGAGAGGAAGAGGCCAATTCGCGCTAGCAACTTGGGTCAGGTCTCGGTCAGAGGAGGACAGAAGGGGAGGAGGTCTGGAGGCGAGAGGGGAGGGGAGGGGGAGGGGGCAGCCGGCTTGTTCGGCCGATCTCTGGCGCGACTCGAGCCATATCCGCCGGCGCACCCCTGTACCGCCCAAGCAAAAGGACCGGACTGGGCCCTTTCCAACTCCAACCAGGGCGCAGACGAACAGGCAAAGGCAGCATCGGGGTCCTCGTCATGGTCGTCTGTTCCCGCTCGCTCTGGTTTAGAGTTAAATCAAAAGCGGTCAGCCGTTGATGAGACGAGGATCTCTCATCACAGGACAAGCCGCGGTCAGATCCATCCACGGAAAGAAAGGAAATGATGGATTGGTTTTTCTATCAGTCTTGTCAGTGTCAACGTCAATGTCAAGTGTCAGTGTCACGATGTAGGTATCTACATGTGACAGAAGCAAATATGGCATGGAGCCTGATCCGTTGCCAACGTCAGCTATCTACCTATGGAGCGTAAGGTACAAATGAGCCATAATCAGATGCTTTTTCCTTCTTCTTCGTCTGCTTGCCGCAATTTTCGATATTTTCCTGCAGAAAGACGTAAAAAGGAAGCAGCTTCACCTCGGCAGGCTTGCATCTGAGCAACACTGCAGCAGTCAGGGACAGGGGCACCCAGGCAGCGCCATTCCGACAAGGGAATGGCTTCGTGCGGGGGAAATTGGCATCTCCCCAGACAAGCTGCGATGTGGCCCTCCCCCTCCTGGGCCTCCCTCCAACCTATTTGTCCTTGTCCGCGTCGTCAAACGGACGCGAAGGGTGCAGAGCCTGGCTTGGTGTGGTGAGATTGACCCAATCAAGGCAGACATGACACACGGGTGTTACCTAGATGGGATACATGAGAGAGGGATCACGGTGGTTGCTTGTGGCTGCCGTGGTGTTCCTGCATCTGCCCACCTTATCTTGCCTGTGTCTGCCTTCTTGTCTTTTGTTCCGGATATGGTTGTATGTCTACTGCCACCATCTCTCTCTTAACCTTAGGGCGCCAGACCCGGACGGATTGGCAAACCACCTTCAGCTTAAGTTACCGAAACTCGAGACCTTTGCGTTTCCGCATCATGGACTTGGACGGGCAAAAGTGGCCTATCAAGCCAACAAAGTTCGCATAATCACCAAGTCGCCCAGATCCCTCTACGAAAGCAGAGGCAACACGATTGGGACGGCGTATTCAATGGCCTTCACGAAGTGGTATCAAGGTGTTCTAGATGGTTCAATACGGGCAAAGATTGGAACTATACTTCCGAGGGCGCTTGTGCCACCCAACAGACAGTCCAATATCATCCCGCATGTGGCACTGTGGCCTTGGTCAAGCAAGGCCAGGAACCATCATCTTCTCAATTAACTTTGCAGACTCCAGAAGCCCCCAAAACTTATTTCACCTTCACCAGGAACCATGGCCAGAAGTTCGTCTGACAGCTCCGGCCTTCAGCTCGTCTTACTTCTGATTCTCTTGAGACGCTTGGCCAATGGCAACTTGTCGATTTCCCCATCAATAGCGTGACAAGCAGCCAAGAGATGCTCCCGCCGTCGTCCCCAGTCACCCCGGGTTTGGCCTGGAAAGTGGAAAAGAGGAGGGAAATTTGATCCCAGCTACGGAGAATTCTCCATTTCCGAGCGCAATTGAGTCAATAATACATGTAACCACAAGTGTTGCACGTCTGCCAGATGCCATCCACAATTACACCAGTCCTTGGGATTCAACGCTTATTGAAGCGCAGCGCCATGTCAGCTAACGACTAAGATGAGCGAATTGGCTCCGAAATTACGCCCGACCCAACATACAAAAGTCCAGCTTCCCAACACTGCAAGGCCCATGTCCGTCTGCATCATGCCACTCCCCTGATGGGGAATCGATCTCCTTCTTCACATGTCCAACGAGATGAGTACCGAGCACAACCTGCGGCCTTTACACACACAGAGACACCACCTTTTTCTCCAATACGCGCCCTCGCGCCAGAATGGCCAGGATTCGGAACTTAGCTAAGAGGCAATAGAGGTCGAAAAAGCCCACTTCCCCGGCCTCGCCTTGACCCAAGAAGATCCCCGTCCTAACGGAGGACACTATCCAATCCGGTATTCCCACCCGTCCACACCCCCTGCTCCTCTGCAACCCTCGCCTTTGCTCTATACGATCACCGGCGCAGCCCTGAGGCCTGCAGACCACTCGAAGGTCGGGTATGCGCGGGGAACTTTCGACTACGAGGTAGGCCCTGTCCTCGCCCTCTTCTTTTTTCATCATACCGTTGCAACGTGCATGCACATGCCGACCCCATTCGGACCTAGCAACCACTTCTCACGACCAGGGTCTCTCAGCTATCCACTTTCCCCCAGATTCTTGCCTTGCTTGCGCAGTAACTCTACTGACGGAGGTACTCATCCATCCGGGTCTTCTGTGACGATTTCGGTTGCTTGCCAGTAGTAGTCACTGGACTCGCTACAACTGCTTGTACATGCTCTCCAGGATGGAAGCCCACTTCTAGTCGTTTGCCCCGTCCCAGCCCTGAGAACCTTGGTTATTAGGTTCGCCAACTAGATCCAGTCCATGCAATTCCTTCTCCGTTATGAACCTCTAAGTCATCCCAGTCCGAACATCCCGCCTATACCCATACAGCCGAAAGGCATCAAGGTGTAACCACACGTACCCTCTACTCCGACTTCTATCTACATAAAGCCTTCTTTCCCTCAGCTTTTCTCAGGCTCTCTCTCTCCCTCTCTTCTCTGCTTCATCCACACTCGCTTGTCTATCATACCGACACCTGATATCCACTACCACCTTACACCCACAACCCACCAACAATCAAGAATTACCAAAATGAAGTACGCGTATGCTCTCGCTGCCCTGGCCGCTGTCGTCGCCGCCCAGGTTGACCCTACCATCATCCCCGAGTGCGCTCGCCAGTGCTTGCTGGACGCCACTGCCTCGGCCACCAGCTGCAAGGCTGGCGACTACGTCTGTTCCTGCGAGCCCGCCAACAAGTCTGCCATTCAGGCCGCCGCCACTGGCTGCGTCGTCGGAGCCTGCGGTGCCGACGTTGCTCTGAGTATGTCTATATCCATCCCTATGTACTACCAAAGTAGTATCATCAGAAGGCTAACCTCACTTCTCAACAGACCAGGTCCTTCCTGCCTCCGACAAGCTTTGCGCCGCCGCTGCTGGCTCTGGCATGTCTGCCTCAGCTTCCGCCTCCTCCTCGGCCGCTGCCTCCTCGGCTGCCTCTGCTGCCTCCTCCTCGGTCCCCCCCGCCAGCATGCCCTCCGTCGCCACCACCACGGCCGTGACCGTCACTGCCTCTCCCTCCGCCAGCAGCGCCGTCGTCACCTCTACCCGCGCCAGCAACGGCACCGCCTCTGCCTCTGGCACCGCTTCCGGTACCGCCGCCGCTACCACCTCCGCCGTCCAGGCTGGCGCTGCTGGCCTTGCCCCCGTCGGCGGTCTTGCCATGCTGGTTCTCGGTGCTCTTGCCATTTAAGCTACCAGACCACTGGAGGAGACATGGCTTTTGGAAGTAGAGCTTGCCCGGAGCTATCTGTAAAGATAGACGGATGGACTATTTGTACATTCATGAGAAAAGTCGGAACGAAACGATTCATGGTTGACGGTGGATGATTGAAGTTTTCTACTGCACCACCATACGGAGGTTTATTGCCCGGAGCCATGTGTTTGACATCGGGCATGTAGTTCAAGTTAAAAGCAATACAAGTTTTTTAATATCATTACTCGGTCTTTCTTCATTATCTCCAAACTACGGTCCCATGCTGCTCCCTCTAAAAATTGCGTAGGCAGGCTTGGAGCCGCGTTAGAGGAACCAAAATACAACTGTCCATGCCGAGATAATCGGCATCAAGATCTTCTCAACCAGAGGTCCAACGAGAGGTGACTGCGAGCTATGCGGGGTATTCATGAGAATGTTTGCCTGTTTGCTGACATCCGGGCATTTCCCATCGAGAAGATCCTGCATGCTAGACCTCTTCCCCACGGCCGCTTTCCCGTCCGGCATGCACTCCCCCGCCTCGTACCCGCGCCTGAATTCGAGCGCATTGGCAAACATCCGCGCCTTCTGATCAGTGGTGAAGCCGTTCTGCGGTATTTTGCCACGGCACGAGGAGTACTATTTGCAACCAAAAGCTATCCGTTAGTGCTCTTCTTTGAGTCCAAGACGAGGGCAGCAAGCAGGACACTAACACTCATGTAGTTATTGATTTCAACCGCTGGACCACCAATGCATGTTACCTGCGAGCATTGATAGACCACGTCACGATTACCCGAGGTCTGGGTCGCGTTTGTCAATCCATCTTGAATGAGACATTCCTGGCCGATCTCATTAAACGTATGGCCGAGACCGAACCAGTGACCGACATCGTGAACAAGTGTTGTGGCGTCGCCCCCCTGAACATGCGCCTCTTCAATAACGATACCGTCTGCTTCATCGAGCTGCTGGTTCGGAAATGTGACGTACTATGCATGATGATCGATCAAGAGTTAGTCATTGCTTTTCTTCATGATCAGGTAATAGTTGGAATGGCCTTACGCTGTTGAGTTCCTGGCCATCCTTTCCACTGCTTCGCAACCCATTGACAATCCAAACGGTCAATGTTAGCTTTCCAGGCGCGCGTGTCCGGCGTTGCCAGTCTAATAATTTAGCCTCCTGTCTGGTTACTCTTGACCAGTCCTCATTTGCCTTTGGCTCCCACCAATTGAGTGCCATAAAGCGGAAGTTGATCCTCACTGCCCCCAACGCCTCGTTCAGGACGTCGATCTGCACACCTTCAGCCCCAATCCTATGACAGCCTCTATAATAGATCAGTGAGAGCTTACCTGTCCTTTCACCCTCGACTCCAGCTCATTTGGTCTCTCGGCGGTCGAAGAGGCTCTCATATAATGAAAATATACTCCAACTTCCATAGAGTCCACAGCTTTGCAATTGCTAAAGCCTCGGAGGTCCCGTGATACTAATGGTATCCAGTCGAATACGTCGTCAACAAAGGCCTTTCTCCTTGCCAATCTCTGAGAGTACAAATTTTGGCACTCGGAAATATTGGCTGGGATGGAAATTTTCCCCATGTCGACAGGGGCAGGGTCCTTTTTGGCAAAGTACTCAAAATACGCCGTCTCAAGGATCGCAAGCGCCCGGGCATTATTATTGTTGATCGACTTTGCCGGAACATTGACATTGAGCTCGGCTTGAAACTGCTCAATCGTTGATTTATCGGGAGGTGTGGCAACTTGAGACTCTGGGACCGCCAGAATTGCTGTCTCATTAACACCTTGGAAGCTGTCCGATGGTTGAGCGGCAAAGGAAGCCGTAGTAGCTAGCTCTGGTGATGAGACTGTATAAGTAGCTTGACCGGCACCAAGAGAGCCGGAAGGAGACCTTTTCAGTTTAGCAAGAATTAACAAGGTATCAAGAAGCACTTACACTTGAGTCGATGCAACATTGCCTGGGTCATCGACTGCCTGAGTGCCTGACGCTTGAGTGGCACCAGGAGCAGCGGTTCCGGATCCCTTGACCTGGACCAACGTAGAGCTACCGGGACCTCTGGGACCGCTGGATTGCGCCTGAGAACTGCGCTGTGCTGGGTTCGAGTTTGGAATACTTGCTGATGCTTCGCCGGTTTGTACAACTACTCTGGACGAAGGAGCTTCTCTTGAGTCTGTTATCCCTCTCGAGGGAACCGCTTGACCGGACACGCTGACTTGAACCGAAGACGGTGCTTCTTTGGGAGAATTGGGAGAGGCAGGCACAGCAGATGATGCAGAAGCAGCCTTAGTTGTAACCTCTACATTCGCGGAGGAGGGCTTGATGATTTGAATAGAAGGCTGCGCTGAACTTGGACGAGCTTCTGATGCGGGTGGTCTTGCTACGGAAGAAGCCTCTGGCGGTGTGTTGGGCCTAGTACTTGCGGATGGAGGAGCGGCCGGTTCTACATGCTCTCATGTCAGAAAAGTCCCGCACAACAGGATAAGTATAAAGCAGCGAGTCCGCTTTGAGGGCTTTTCACTATTTGTACTGACCTGGAGAGCTGACTGGTACTGGTGGCCTGGCGACAGAAGATGCCGGGGCATCAGAAGTTGACAGGTTGCTGAAGTTTTGCGCAGACACCCAGGATAACAGCCCAGACAGGAGACAGATGAAGGCGAGGAATCTCATATTGAAGTCAACTCCAATTTACTCCAATGATAATTTTCAATATTGAATTTAGGCAGAGACATCTCAAGATTGGGAAGACCGCGCCGATGATTATTATACGCTCCATGTGGACCATCTTTAGAACTCGCTTGAGCTATCCAAAACCGTTTGAAGAGGGTCTCTTCAACCAGATGGCTGGAATACGCCACGCTCGCTGCTAGCAGAGTAAGGTTGAATGCATTCGGCATTTTGATTCACACTTGCGGGGAAAGCTGGCAGTTTGGGTAGCTGAACGAGCTGAACAGCTTCTGCCAAGCCTGTCTCTTTGAGCCACAAACGTTGGCGGTATCCCAGCCGCAGTGCTTCGATCCATCTCCGACGCCGTCTGCTGTGATAAGCGGACTCGACAATCTCCCCATATGGAGACCAATGTCTTGAGATATCTAGACAAAAGCTCTCCGCAGCTATTGTGCCGCGAACCGCCTGAGGCAAATGCTTTAACGGTGTTGAATTTACTTCACGAAGCTGCCGGTCATTTCAGCAGAAGCAGCAAATGATGGTTACGGGCAAAGTTGTCGTAATTGATTAATGTTTCAATGCTATATGTTGCCTCATTCCACGCAGCCAGAGACAGTCTCAACAAGCGGTATTCCGCAAAATTTGGCTAGATTCTTCACAAAAGGCGAGCCACACTCGAAGTCGTCTTTTCAGGCGGGGAACGCAACTTTCTCGTTGATGTATCGATGCTATTGCGCCACAGCATCCACCCGCTCGAATACCCTGGAGCGTATTGGATGTTTGCGGCAGTCGTGTGCTACTCCACCACCTACTAATACCAAATTGTAGAGCCATCCTGGAGCCGAGACTTGCGCCAAGGCCGACCACTGAGGTGTCTCTTCGTCCTCGTGACATTTTTGCCAGGCATAACACCAGCTGCGCTTTCAGACAGACAGGTAACATTCTTAACGCAACCTTAGCTTCGAGTTTAATTTCCTTAGCCTCCATAACTGCCGCCACGGCTCAGCCTTAGGACTGAGACACTGGAGTTTTGGGATAGACTGGATTTCGGACCGAGAAACTGGATTATGTCCCGCAACATCTGCGTCCGGGGGAGAGAGTAGAAGACATCTTAGTGAGCTGAGCAACCAAGGACACCAATGAGAACCCGCAATGGCGACCAAAGAGAGGAGATGTGGGTGACAATTCGTCCCCAAAGATGGCGAGACAAATATGCAGCAGCTGGTAGGATCGACCGGAGCGCTGGGATCCCTTCACCAACTTGTATATTTGCCCGTTTGCGTGGATCTTATTTGGCTGAACCATTTGTGCAGACATCAAGTGACGCGAAACATTCCAATGGTGCCTAAGACGTCCCATGACGTCTGAGTCACCTATCCAATTACTTAATCCCCTTCACGAACACTAACTTTACGTGAAAGTGATGTTCGAAAGCGAATCGTTGAAAGATCAGACTTAGTTGTAGCATAAAGCTAGCTGCGTTGTTCCAAGAATCAACAATGGTTTTACTCCTGCTCTCACATTCAGCACTGCTCGTGTAGTACGAAACATTCAATATTCAGTATCAGCCAAGTGATTACGTAGTTGAACCCATGCCACTTTTGCTATCCATCTCGTGCCATGATATCTGGGAATGCCCTTACATTGAAGAAGTCTAAACGAAAGTCAAGAAGAGAACTACCAGCTTTGTACTCCAGCCCCCCAAGACCCCTCATATCAGTCTATCAAGCCAGATGAGTCCACACCCGGAGTGTCGTAACTTTGTACACGACGAGAACTACAATCTCAGAGCCCGGCGACGGCCGAATTCATATCCACCGTAGATGGTAGACGCCGAAGTGTACCCATCAGACTTGCGAGTCTCAAAGGTCGTCGGGGTGGGCGATACCTCTGAAATGGAGGGGCTCACCAGGGACGGTCGAGCACTGGCCACGGTGGTGCCGAGGTACTTGGTCGAGCTCGACTCCTGGGACGACTGGGAAGATGAAGAGGGAGGATAGTCGTAACCACCAGGGATGCTGCTGGCAGTTGAGCTAATCAGAGTCGGAAGAGCACTCGAGACGGTGGTACCCAAGATTGAGGTTGAAGTTGGGTAATCGGTGTCGTAGCCTCCTGAGATATCCGAAGTTTTGCTAGAGACGAGTGTAGGCTTGGCGCTGCCTATAGTAGTTTCCGGCGATGCGGTGGACTCCTGAGTGGAGGGAGGGTATTCGTATCCGCCAGAAACGCTGCTCAGAGTTGCTGTACCTGTGGGTGTGACGAGAGTGGGCAGAGCACTGGAGACTGTGAATCCCGGCGAAGAAGTGGAAGGAAGGGAAAGGTCCGACGACAGCGACGTGGAAGTAGATTCCTCGTGAGTTGTGCAAGGTTCCTTGGATACAGTAGAGGCAATGCTGCTCCCAAATGAGGTAGGAGTAGTGTTGGACAAGCTGGGGGCGGTGGTGGTGGTAGTGTAGCCGAGCGTGGTGGAAAGCCGAATGGAGGTCGGTGATGAGACAGACCGAACGCCACTAGAGACTCCTGTACCGCGACTAGTTGACGAGTAGGCAGTTCCGGTGCTGAGAGGTACGGTCTTCGTGAGGGTGACGACAACTGTAGTCCTCTTCGTAGTATAAGAAGTGGAGAGAGAGGGTGTGGATGCTCCGGGGTGCTGGGACGAGACCGTGGTGTTGAAGACTGACGTGGTGGTGAGGGTGGTCAACGAATACGAAACAGGGGGGGCGATACTCGACTCGGATCGTGTAGAGAGAGACGGCAGAGGAGGTATACTGATCGTGGGGATGCTTGGGATGCTCTGGGTTGTAACCTTTGAAGAAGTGGACGAGTCTGTGTCGGTGGTGCGGACGGTCTTGGTGATAGTACGAGTAATATGAGTGCGGGTAGAGTTCGTCCAGAGGCTCGAGGAGGAGCCAGTGGTGACACTCGTGCCGGCAGTGCCAGTACCATGAATGTAAGAGCTGGGAAGGCTGAGAGTTCTGGGATGTCACTTATCATCAATTACAACTGCGAAAGAATGTCAACTTACGACGTAGTATTGGCGGTCCAGGTTGGAGAGGAGCTCGGGGTGCCAGCACTAGGCAGCTGGGAGGAGACTGTGACTCCCGTAGTTGGAGTCCATGATGATACTGCTCCGGTGACTTCAGAAGAAGTGCTAGAGCTGACGGAGGTGGACGAGTTGGTGTGACCGAGGGACGTAGACGCAGGTGGGAGAATGCTGGACGACAAGGACTTGGAGCTCAAGCTTCCTGGAATGCCCGTACTAGAAGGCCCGCAGGTGTGAATGTACGGAGGCGTCACAGTCAAGGTCTCTGTGAGAGTCACGGTACTGGCACACTGAGAGCCACAAGCAGTGACAGTGACCGTTGCCGGAGGATGCGGGATGAGGTAGTTGTTGGCGTTGGGAGGGATGGCGTTTGCCAGAGAGGCACTGCAAAGTCGGGTCAGCAATGGCCGAGAAAAGCATGATCAAATCCTCACCTAAGGCCTAAAAGGACGCAGTAAAGTGCGACAGGGACCATGACTGGCAGAGGTTTCGGGGTATCAAACGAATGTGGTGGTGCAACAGCTGGTGCTTGCTGGTTTGAGACGAGAAGCGAAACTCCAGTACACCTTTGCGTCCGTCCAGACAGCTTTATATCAAGAAAGCGATCTTATGTACACCAATGCTAGATGACACAGCGTATATGTCTGAGCATTCTCGATTGCAACGCCGACGGGAGGGCCGGCAGACATCCTCATCACGGAAGCCGTTACCCTGGCCTAGAACGTCCTTCGGCGAGGCTTTTCATGCAGGGCGCCGCTGAGAGCCAACAACACAGCAATCGATTCAAGTGTCTCCCTATTGAGTTCCAGAGCTAAATAGAAGTCAGAGGCTTGCCCTCGTGGTTGTTCGAAGCGAGAACGCACAAACCGCACCGTTCGAGTTGCGCCGTTGCCACACGGGTCAAGGAGACCAATACCTGATCTCATCTAAGCCAGACCGTCAGAATTATTTGACAATACCATTCGGACTTCAGGAGGTGATATTTAGAGCCGAAGATATATGTGACTTCTGATAAGAAAAGCCATATAATTTAGCATTCCCACGTAACGCCTACGACGTGTGATGCCACATAGCTTGGAGGCGCTCCAGAGCTGGCACTTCAGAATGCAGCGTTCGTTTGCCGGTAGAATTCGGAAGACAAAATCAATGCTCATGCCTTTTAGATTCGACGGGAAATCTTTGTAGGCAAACAAGAGCGGCGAGAAAACAGAGTCGTGTGAATGAGCACGGCTGCAGATGCCCTCGCTGCGGCTGCGGGTGTCCGTCCCACACAATCTCCGGCAGACAACCCGCATAGTCAAACAATATCATATGAGAAAGACAGGCAAGAAGTACAGATTTGCGTTACCCTGGGCCACAAGGTTGGAGCATAGGGGTACGATTTTGTGATCTGCGTGTTCTGGAGGGCACATGTACGAGAATCTGACGTCCTCATCGCCCCGAATTGTGGGATGTTTGAAGCTTCTGGCTTTTCCAGAGGCCTGGAATCACTATTCTGTAAGGATGTTCCAGCACGACAGATGCCGTACTTATCATCACACATAAGATGATACGGCAGGGAGGAACTTTTTTGCTTTTACATTGGCTTCCAACAAGATGGTGTAACACCGACGCCAGTGCACGCGTTCCGTGTGTGCATGCATGCATTGGCGGAGCTGCGGGTTTCCGACCCTTCAGGGGTGGGACCAAACAGACAACACCTGTTCCCTTCATAACAATATGAAGTTTACAGCCTGTGTCCTTGGTTGGAGGACTAGAGAATGCACCTACACATAAAGTCCATTCATGGACTTGATTCACAGAAACAGTTCATTCCACTTGTAAGGTAGTTATACCGGGGAGGTGCATCCTACAGATGAGCAACCCGTACAGCCAGATCCCGTAAACTTGACATTCTTGTCACATATTGATTGCGGTAGTAGACACACGAGGGCTGTGCGAATGCCACGGCGGGATGGATGAAGGAAGCGCCTTTGTCTAGAAGTTTCCATTGCAACAGAAAAGTCGGAAGATTCTTAATCGGCCGATGGCGGGAGCCATCTTCGTCACTTTGGAAGGGACCAGCGGAGCTTCACGTCTTGTTTGCACTTCATCTCGGGTTGTGTGGGCCGTCTCACACCCGTTGATGTTTGTCCTTGTTGGTACTCGGAGATTTGGATGAGCGGCGGCTGTACTGGACTCGGGTATAGTCCCTCTATAACACACCTTGATCTGCACGGGATGTTCTGTTTGACCAAACCTTGCCCCGGCCTGTTCAGGCGACGATATCGCCTCGATGCGTGGCACGCGTGGTCAAAGGCGTTCGAAGTTACAGTTGTGCGCCACATCACCGAGGACAGGGGGCCTGAATCATTGATCCTCGCACAATACGACCACGTTGGCACTCTGCATAGAGCAGAGTAATGTTCACATACAGGCACATACAGAGCAAAAACACGTATCTGAAACTGTCTTAAGCTCTGCAAGAGGAATCACTGCCAAGCTCTTCCACGGTTGCAGGTTACACGACCGGGTAAGGAGTTGTAAAGTGGCCACAATTGCGGCACCTATGTGTACGGTTTATTTCTCCTCAGCACGTTCAGCCGCTTGATTTGGTTGCGGCAGGTCCCGCTGGGATAGATGAAAGATCAAGTGCATGATGCAGCTGTCTCGCACTGCACCCTGCGAGAGTGCCTGCGCCTCTTCGTCTTACGAGCAAACAACTTTGGGGTAAATAAATGCAGTTATTCATAGTCTCACACCTCAAACTCTGGATACTCTATGGATTTTCTTCATTCTGCCATACTCTTCTCAGAGGACCGCCTTCAATGCCTTGAATGCATCATCTCGACTGCCCGAGAACCTGAGCTCAGAGGTCTTCCAGTTAATGACGTTCCAAATATTCTCCACGTATGCCGCCTTTCCGTTAAGATACTATCACCATCCTTGATTAGTCTACTAAAGAGTCTCAAGCAAATAGCCTCATTGGTGAGAACGAACCTGTAGGTAGTACGCGTGCTCCCACATGTCGACACCAAAGATGGGCACACCCTTGGTGACGGGGTCCTGGTCCTTGGTGGTAACGATGCTGAGGCCGGTGACATCGTCCTTGACCAGCCAGCCCCAGCCGCTGCCGGTGATACCAAGCAGAGCGGCGTTAAAGACCGCTTTGAATTGATCAAGACCACCCCAGATACGAGTAACCTCGGCGATCAGCTTCGGTGCCGCATCGGGCGAAGCATCCGGGCTTGAAGCTGGGGAGAGGTTCTCCCAGAAAAGAGAGTGGTTGATGTGACCACCACCGTGAAAGTTAAGGGCTGCGAGGACCGCGAATCGACTTTGGAGAGGGTTTGCGTTGTAGGTCTCGATGGCTTTATTCAAGTTCGTGGCGTATGTTTGGTGACTGTTTAACACAACAGTTAGTACCTTGGTGACGCATATTCCATTTCTCCCCGGCATGATACGGCTTACTGTTTGCTATGGTGTAGCTCCATGATTTGAGCCGAGATATGAGGCTCGAGAGCCTGGGGATGAGATTAGCAGATGGTGTCTTTATCGAGCAGTGATGGGAGACGAACATCGTAAGCGTAGGGAAGCTTAGGTAGCGTGTACTGCGCGCTGGCCATTGTGAAATATTGATGCCGGGTATGGTCTGGTCAGCAGGATAGTGCAGCGAATATCGTGAGGTCTTGGAGCTGTGTGTAGATGAAGTTGAGATGATGGAAAAGGGGATCGAGGGGGTAAGGACGTAGAATCCAGAGTCACTCCCGCCGGCAAAGACATACAAACGGTCCAAATGAGGGGTAGAAGTGAGCACATTTCATCATCTTGGCAACAAGACTCGCCTTTTCCATGTCCGTTGAGGCCGAGGATGTGACAAACACCTTGATGGCTGCCCTTCCTCCGTCTCATTGACCGGCTCCATTCCGACGTTGCATGGGTCTTGGTGCTAACGCCCACCGACGATTCGGGCATCTCCACCCGCCCATATGCCTCGAAAGCGAGCCCTCGTCAAGATGCATATTCAAGAGGACTATTGTCAACTTCGATATGTGTCTGATCAACTCAACAGTCTGTAAGCCGCGGTGATATGTGTATGTAGCGTAGACCGGCTTAAACATGATCAATATTGCTCTAACTTGCTCACCAGGAAACCCGTGCAGGGTCCCTCCAGTTCCAAAGTTGGGGTCCGCGATGTGCTATGATTGGCCAACTTATTGTTGGTGACACCCCGGTCCGCGACCCATTGACTCTCGTTTTGAGATGACAGGGATAGAGAGACAGATTGAGCACCTTGAGGGAGTTCTTACAGTCGGTCGAGACGTTTAAAGCATCGCGAAGGCTCTGTCTTTGAAGCGGCTGGTCCGTACGGTTGTCCTGGTTCTTACAAGTCGGCCTTTCAACAGCATACACTGGCCCATCAGGCGTACTCACAACTCGTTCGTATTTCACCATGTGCGGCCCAGATACCTGTACCAAGCCCCGAGGCGGCGCTTTGGCCGTTCTCAACCAACCTTGCAGCCAGCACAGCCCGACAACACCGAAACAGCGACTTCGCGGAGATCTCGCTTTTCACACGCCAGGTCAACCGGGATGCTCTTTCGCGACGCATGCGAGAATCACAGGCGGCGAAGGTTGCGATCTGCACTCGTTGTCCGAAATGGTAGTCGTGATACAGTAAGTAATGCTGACGTCAACGCCGCTAGGCAGGGTTGAGTACCTAGCATCTGGTATTGACGAAGCTCTTCTCAACAGTCAGTCCGGCGACCTCACTCGTAGACTTGAAGATTGCGGCTTGTTTGAACGCTTCGCCTTCTCCGGTGCCTCCATTCTAGAGAACGGTTCTATACTGGAGTTAGCGTTGGAAAGACCAGTCTCGCTAGAAGTCGGTGATGATGGCATCATTGGCCGCAGAGTTTCTGTCTTTCCAGGGACAGGAATGGATCACGCATGCGCTGAGGGCATCGTTGGCTTCAACTTTGTCAACGCATTGTGAAAGGAGTAGACCGCATCTGACTTGAGGACCTTATTTTAGCATGGCATTTGGCGTTTGAGCGAGATTGGCATTCATTATTAATTTATGATTTTAGTCCGTAGACTACCTTCGACTCGGAAACTACAGCATAAAAACCTAAGTCCGTTTGCAAAATGAGTGCATCGATACATTTGATTGATGAAATTCATGCACACTATGTCACAGAGCACTTGGGCTAGAAATATTGGTCTACGAGACATACCCACCACCGACCTATTTGTGCTTTGAAATTACCCGCAAGCTAACACCTATTTCTTCTAATCTCATGGGCGTACCTACCCTCAATGGAACATCCTTGCGCGTGTATGTACGACTGCAGTTGGCCATCTTGAGGATCAACGCGTTATGAAATTCGAAAAGCTCTCCCGCGAGTCTCAATGGCCATCTTGGCTGTGGGATATTGCCAATGAGTTTTGAAAATAGTGCCAATTGTTTTATTTCTGCATCAAAATAGCGGCATTCTTGTAAAGTGAGACGTGTGTGGCAGTATAAACTGAGCATCACATTCCATGAGACTGGCCATTACGAAATGATCAGACTGCTTCTGAGGCTCTATCTACTATACTACGACCACACGGCATCTTCATGGGGGCATTTTAAGTTAACCCAAACTTTTCTTGCCATACCTATGTGAAATTGCACTTGATCTCTTTCTTCATGATGATGACCATCGTCTTATTGATGCTTCATCTACGTGGGACCAAAGAACGCCGACGCTATGTTTTCAAGATGCACTAGTATGCAGAGGAAGATGACCTCGCAACAGAGAGCTGCGTCAAAGGACTGGTTGGAAAGGCATCTTGTCATGTCCTCTCCCACTTTCAGTGAAAGGAAAGCCCAAGAAACGATGACACCCAGTGGTAGTTTTTTAAGCACTCAAGCCCTTTCCGGATCATGGTTACATGAGTGAGTCAGTCCCAGTTCTTTAAATGTTGAAATACTTGGGAAGAATATAGAGTCCACAGACCGTCCAGCAGTAATCCTCCAAAGTTTGAAATTGCATGTATTATCGGCAGTCAGGACGACCGACGCGGTGTTGTTGGCCGCGTCGGAAACAGCTCTGGCGACGGAGTCAATATCCAATTGAAGTGATATTACTGACAGAATGCATCATCTATGGTTAGCATTGATCACCAAGAGAAGGTTTTTGAAGGAAAGCTCTGGCAACGGGTATCTTCACGTATTGGCGGTGTATCGTTACATCATGCGACAAAGCCACATCATATTCTACATGCACCGGTGTTCAAGAGACCTGCTTATGATTTTAGAATACCTCATAGGAATAAATTGCAAGAGAGATCGAAAGGCCTTGCGACATTCCGTGTGCTAACATTTAGCTGTCGAAACGAATACGATGCGAGGTGACGTTCAATACGAGGTACGAAAACGGGATGCGAAATCCCCCTCATCAATACTTCGCCTGGCAAAAGTTTTCGGCAAACCACCAGAACAAGAAGATACACCTTTGCCACAAACGATCTCGTTATCAAAGGTGTACGAAATTCTTGAAGCACGCTTTTCCGGAGTCGATGATAGCGTCTGGCTGTCGCCGGCGTCTGGCGTCTGGCGCCTTCACTTCAAGCCGAAGAATGTGAATGGAAAACTAGATAATGATGGGCAAAAACCATTTTCTTCGATGATCCTGCCAAGCCAATCCGGCACTGCTGAGCTAATGTGAGACCGGAAATCTCTGGTTGGGTGAAGGCAAAGCCGAAGAAATTCAGTCTTTAACAGCAAGTGGCTACCGAGTAGTCCCAACCCTAAGGTTAGCTTCTGCTATTCTTGGTTCTCGGGAGGCAACGTAGCATGGCTTGACTCGTGGGGGAGGCAAAATCAATGGTTGGGCAGAGCTTCACGGTTTCCATTTTCTTCCCCTCGGTTCAACGACCCGGGCCAAGAGGTTGGCGGACAGCGGAGCCGGATTGATCGGCCGTTCGGCAGCAACCGACTAGCCCGGTCTTGGTCAAAGACAAGAGGGTCTCTGGTGGGCTGATTGGTACGCTTCCTCGCCGTCTCCCAAGCTGGAAGTCAGGGTCTATTTTCAGCATGTTTCTGACGTCAAGCAAACTCTGTCTTCAAAGAGCCTCTTCCCGTTCTGGAGAGGTTCGGCCTGGTTGGGAAGTGAAAGACAGCCCGATGGTCTGTTAAGCCCCTGCCACAAATATGGGGACCTCCAGACGCTAGCCGAGCCATGAGATCATGAGGTCCGTGGAGATATTGAGCTGTCAACCTTAACAGGTTAGTTGCCGGGGCGAACGGCTAAGGCGAGGTGGGTTGCTAGTCAATACGAACAACTTAGAACATTTTTCCCGCCCTTTTGGCTCCACAGACGAGCCTCTCGCACACAGGCGAACACGAGATGTTGAAGTTTCTCGCCAAAAGAGAGGCGGAGAGATCGACTTTCAGAGTCTTACGATGTCTTGAGTAACGTGTATATAACCATTGCAACATCGCTGCTGAAATGTTGTAATCGCCCTCATCACACTCAGCTTCATCAACAATATCAGCAACTTCAGAAACATTTCATCTACAGTCATCCCTATTTATCATTGACATCTCCGGCATTTTATAATTACATACGTCTTACCACCAACCAACATGATGAACAAGCTCGTCTTCGCTCTGGCCATGGCCTCCGCCGCCGTTGCTGCTCCTCTCAACGCCCGCCAGGACGCATGCCAGGACGCCTACAAGGCCTGCATTGCCGCCGGTACCCCAGAGGTTGCTTGCTCTTGCACTCTGACCGCCTGCGTCGGTGAGGATAACGCTCGCAACCGCGAGTACTGTGCCTCCGCGACGGCCAACCTCCCCAAGCCCACCTCTACCGGCATCCCCGGCGGCTGCAACCCGGCTCATCCCGGATCTTGCCCCTCCTCTTACTTCACCTACACCACTGCGACTGCCACCGCCGCTCCCGCGCCAACCTTCACCTCCATCTCCGGAATCCCGGGTGGCTGCAACCCTGCTCACCCCGGATCCTGCCCTTCGTCCTACTTCACCTACCCGACCCTCACCGCCACCGCGGTGCCTACTCCCGCACCCACCTCCGGATCCGGCGGAAGCGCCCCCGCCTACCCCAACCCCAAGGCAGTCGAGGGTAAGACTTGGACGATCAAGGACATGACCCGTTACTGCGGCGAGAAGAACGACGGCTGCGACTACAACTTCGCCATCGAGGCTGATGGCAAGACTGAGCGCTGCACCGTCATCCGCATGCCCGGCTCCAATGCGGCCACCGAGAGCTGGTCCGACCAGCCTTGCACCTCCGGCTCCAACTTCAAGGTCTCGTGGGGCTACGTTGCCAACCCCGCCCCTGCCTTCGCCGTCGTCACCGTCGTCAACGGCAAGGAGCTTGCTTGGTTCGGTGTCTCTGACATCAACGGCAAGCCTGTCACCACTGCTCCCTCCAGCCCCTTTGGCTCTGGACAGTTCGGCAACCTCGGCCCCGAGCAGGTTTATACCTACTGAGCGGCTTTGAAGAATTCGACTGAAAATTTGCATACATTGCTTTTAGCGACTATTGATTTAACGATACGATACACCGAGGCATATGATACGAAGCATAGAGGACGCACCCAAAACTAGACACTCATTATGATAATGTTCAATACTCCCTGTACGAGTTATATGTACAAATACACAATCCTTAATTATTTACTCCTGCAAAAGATCTTAGCGCCCAATGTCTCTCTTGTTGTGGTGCTCATTAGCTTGATAATCTCCCTCGGCTGATATTTGTGTACAAAATTTCTAGCTTGCGACGAGTATGGGCATGCCCTCGCTGGATTTGATCCACACTGAGCTTGATAATGTAGACGCATTTCGTGGTACCAATTCGTGCACGTGACGAATCTGCCTCTTCTCATCTAAACGTGTCAATTGAGATCGCGGACTCGCCGTGGTGAAAAAGAGCCGGCGGACGTTTGGAATTTGCTTGAAAACCTTAATAAAGTGTGAAATCCACTAAATGCTTGCACATAACCCCTTCAGCTTTTCGAATCAGAGACTGCACAGACTCATTGTACTGAGTCAAGAAGCTTTCACGGGGGATTATGTGTTTAAGGAGTAGAAAAAGGGGGAGATTGAAGCGTGATAAAAAGCCAGCGAGGCGCCGAAGATTCAATCTGTGTTGAATGTTATCAGCTTTTGTAACGACTTCGCAGACGCCCCAGTGCTTCAAGACATCTGTACCAAACGACGTAATCGGAATTATACCCAAACTCTCAATCGAAAATCAGCATTCGGCCTCTTTCGCAATCATGAAGTTCATCACGGCAATCTCCTTCCTCTTTGCTGCGGTCGCATCCGCTCAGTCCTGCGTCGGCAACGAGCTTCAAGTTTGTGAAGGCAACAGGATCAAGTTCTGTAACCTTGCAAGAAACAACGTCTTCGATGTGAGCAGTCTTATCAAAATGTCATCAATACCAAAGACTAACCCTTTCTCTAGTACATGGACTGCGGCAGGCAGAAGTGTCACAACGTCGATGGAGGAGCAAACTGTCAATAATCTGGGCGTGGCACTGAGCTTGCAGGGGGATATTTTGAATGAAATAACGGTCTGAGGCATAGAGGTATTGGGGTAGAAGTCACTGATCTGAGCTAAAGACTGATCTGGGTACGTCATGAAGCACGGAATGATTAATACTGATTGAGAGCTTTCCCGGCGTTGTAGGAATTCCCAACCATCATCGGCGATTCCGGCATAACGTCCGTGTTAATCGCTGCGAATTGCACACTCTTGATTCCTCTTTAGACGGAACACGCTCCCAGAATATGAGTCAACGCAACATCATTCCACAAATGGTGCTGGCCATGTTATGTGTGCATCGATGACAGCGACGGCTAGGTCGAAGTTCCTCGGAATTGGGCAAGATGCATAATAGTCTACGATATTTCTACCTGGTCATGATACCTTGTCTCAACTAAGTAGGATGAAGTTTGATGGATGCCCAGGACCAGGTTCGATAGTACAGTAACATTAAGCTCTTCCTTTGCCCCGACTCGCACTTTGCACAGCTAGTTCATTGTCATGTTCATTTTAGATCCAACCTTCGTGCCGTTATTTGGAAGTTTAGCCCTCAGCAATGAAAAAGGACGCTGTCTTGAGTCTGTTCCGGGGTAGACTGCCGGACCGAATGCCAGCTGATTGTTTGTGAAGTAGATATATCCATCCGTGGCAACAGAGAACTTGAATCCCACCTTGGTCAACTGGAGGTGTCCATGATGTGATTCAGGAACAGACGGGACTTATCGTGTCAGCCCAGTTGATTCTTGAATCTCGCAAGAATACCTGATCAGTCCCATTCTCGGGGTTGAAGAAGTTGATTGCGTTTTGCTCGAAATTCCCGTGGTAAATGAATCCATTCGTGTCCGTCTCAAAGCCGTCAGAAAGACCCCTCTGACTCTCCGTCACAACGGCTGCCTGAGCTCGTATCTCTGATGTTGGACCATTGTCTCGTAGACGTTCTGTAGGGATGCTGTACAGGTATCGATTGCCAACGCCACCAAAGTACAATGTCTTTCCATCTTTGCCGAGAGCGATACCATCAGCACCAAAGGTCAGATGACCGGCTCGATTGCCTGCCTGATTCGCGTAGAGCTCACGGCCCCAGACAAATGCGAGAAACTGTCGGTCGCCTTGCACGTAAGGACTTCCGTCAAGGTGCCTCCACGATTCACCAGATCCGAGATCGACGACGATCAAGCCTGTCCGGCCCTCGCTCGAAGAGTCCGTGATGTAAGCAACACCTTCCCCGCTGCTGGTTAGACTAGGATCCAGGTCAAATCGCACGTCGTTCAGGTATGTGTCCGGGTAGGCGACAGTATTGGGAAAGACGATAGTCTTGATGATCGAATTTGTGGTCAGATTGACGCCGACTAGCTTTGCGCCACCGACGCTGGCAGGGACGAGAACGCCCTGAGGTGTCAAGACCCTGCCAGTATCCAAAATCCAAAGACGATCCGCACTGTCAATGACCACGCTTTGAACACCAATCAGGTAGTTCTTGTAGTTTGCGCCCGTCGGAGGAGTAGTGGTGAAGTTGATTGCGCCGCCAGGTGGATTGTTGAACTCGGCACTTGGGTACGGCTTCTCAATATTGTTGTCAAAGAGCTCGGCGACCGTGTACTTGCCGTTGGTACCATCATTTGTGTTATTTGGGTCCAGACCACCAGGGTAATTTGAAAATCTCCGTCCAGTTGACGATACGGCAACGCCTATTCAAGTATATGAGCGTCATGCGCGAGCGTTCTTGACTTTGTGACATTACCCGTGGGCCACTGGTCGTTGTACAGATGAACGACTTCGAGGGACGGACCACTTCGTCCTGAGTCAAAGATGAGGTTCTGTGCCCTCGCTGGATGAAGACCAGCCAGAGCTGCGACCAATGTCAACTTGAGAGAAATCATGACTGCTGAAAGCTTGAACTAGACCTGCTGCTGTTCTCAAGTGAGAGCTCACGGGGCACAACGCGTTTTGGGGCAGTAAATTAAAATGACTATTGGTTATATGCATGCACTCTCTCCCCTCAGAGACTTCGTGACCCATTGGATCCATGACGCATGCATCCACGCCTGTTCACATCACCTTGAGGATTGCAAAGCGCCCAAATTCAGCGTTAGTGGTCAATTTTCTCATTCCTCAACTCGCAATTCTCCAGAGTTCGCATGCGGACACTCGCTTAATTGCCTGTATTGAGCCGCTAACCACCACTGCCGTGGCACTAATTGTTGGCGCTACCACTCCATGAGCTCATCCTGCGGGGAAGCTAGGAATTCAGTACCGATAATCCCAATCGGCGAGTGAAGAGCGTGTCCGTGGGATTGCAGGTGATGAGTGCCCGTTGGAAATTATGTTTGCTGCCTGCTTATTGTGAAGGTACCTTATGACGAGAAGGGGTCGTCCGCGAAGCTGATGGAAATAAGGTAGTTAGAGGAAAGTTCAAAGACACTTCTCGTCTAGTGGGTCGATGTTCTTACAATGTGTTGCCGAGACCATCATCGCACACTAAACGTCCCTGAACGGGACTGCACTGAGCACCATCAAGTACGACTCTGCCTCCGCTATTATCCTTGGCCGGAACACTTTTGGCCGGTGCAGCAACGGCAGATGCCATGAAGCTGCTTAGAGCAACGACGATAATAGAGAACTTCATCCTGAATGTGGTGCTTGGAGAGCTGCAAGAATTACCGAGTTGAATGAGTATGTCGTGATACGCTTAGATCTGGCCAGCCAGGAGTGATTGAATGTTTTTGTTTGTGAAATGAAAAGCTAGCTCGTAGGAAATGACAATAAAATCTTCCAAAGATGAGAGGTCCATCGCGCTTTTAATGTGACTTTGAGCAATTCAAGCTTAAAAGGGGCGATCAGTTCTTTTGGTCGAGATGAGACGATGTCAGGGTACAGTTGAGACGAACACCCCGGTCACATCCCACTCGGCTGTCAATACGAGCACATCGCGAGTATCAAACCTTCCCCCCTGTGTTCCACAGTCAACCAACAACATTGTCTCACGTTACCCCACACGCCTCAGGAGTATTGTTTCGGCCTTGGATTTTCCTACTTGAGAAAGTGAAGCACCAACTTTTTGTATCCCTCTATGCTTTCAATCAACTCCGGCACACGGATGAACTCGTCGGGCCCATGAGCTACCAGGATCGACCCTGGCCCGTACAGAACCCTGTTGTCGCAGTACTCCGCCTTGAGTCGAGGTACGTCAGTCCCGAAAGCCACGGGAGCCGCATCAAAGCCGTCAATCTCCCATTGCAGTAGCGCTTCGGGGTACTCAAAAACAAACTTCAACTCCACGTCCGGATGTCGTGAAACGATCTCGGCAACCTTGGTCTTGATGCCGGGCAGGTCGGAAACCATGCGAACCTCGCATAGTGCCTTGGCGGACGGGGCGACGATGTTATGTTTCTCGCCTCCCTCGATAGTTCCGATGTTGAAGGTGGAAAGGCCGAGGAGGTCGGATTCGGGCCAAGTTGCTGCGGAGAGGTCATTCAACACCGCCAGCAATGCACAAGTTGCGCTTTTGCCGAGATGGGGGTAACCTGAGTGACTACATCTTGGCTTTAGTAGAGCTTTTGGATGACTATGACCTCTTCGGGGTTGTGAAGGGTTGACTTACCAAGCGACGCCGTTGGCGATCACTTCAAATGCCACCTGCCCCTTGTGACCCTTTGCAAGTTTGCTCTCAGTCGGTTCAGCAAAGATGCCAGATTCCCACTTTAAGCCCATGTCATTTGCAGCGATCATTCCGTGACCGCCGTTTTCTTCACCGACAACAAACAACAAGGCGATATCTCCCTCCTCCTGTACCTTGGCTTCCTTTCTCAGTTCTTCTGCAGCTAAGATCTGGGCTGCCAATGGTCCAAGGTCGTCGGACGATCCTCTTCCCCGGATGATATCCCCATCGATCGTTAGCGGAATATGCGGTGGTACAGTGTCCATATGGGCTGTGAGAAGTACACGTGTCTTACGTGAAGAGCCAAGGTATGCGTAGACATTATGGCGAGACGATTCTGGTGAAATAGGTATGCGCTCGACGGTGTATCCTAGCGAATGAAGATGATGTTCTAGGAAGACACCAATGCTTTCCTCAAGTTCGCTGGTGCTCACGATTGACATGAGCGACTTCAACAAGCCCACCACGGGGTGATCCATGATAGCAGATGCCATAGCGTTCGATTGGCTTGAAATCTGCGTTCTAGAACTACTTCTGACATGTAAATGAGAGGAGCAAAATGCGGCAGTGAATGTGGCTGGAACGGACCCCTCTCCGTCGACACAGGTACGGAGTTCATAGTTAGTTAAGAGAGACTTCCCCAACAGTGCATTAATACCCTAAATTGTGAGTCACAACCAACCAACAGTCGAATGTGGATCTATCGGCGGGAACCACTTTGCCGGGCTTTGGTCAGTTCGGGCCAACATCCGCCTTGCTCGGGATAATTCCCGCGTTAGTTTCTTGGTGCCTAATAACGATGTTGTAGCCATTTCAGTCACCCGGAGTCAGAAATCAATGCCAATGACTTTTTTCCAAATGTTGGGTTCTACTTCGGTGATGCTAAAGTAATTACGTGCACCTGACAAGACTTTTACCACCTCAGCCAGGCCAAGCTGCAACCGGCTGACTACAAGCCTCCCTAAAGAGTCATCGTCATAACGTCGATAAAGGAAAGCATTTTCCAAATGCTTCTGATTTTGTCTGCTGCCCGAACTGAAGTCGACGAGTATTTGACCGCTGTCGTGAAAGGCCTGGCTTCATCAGACGTCTGTGAAGTGTCTACTTGCAATTTGGTAGAATCTGTGCTCTTCAACGGCTGCAATATAGATACTGAGAAACAGCAAGTATGCGGAACATAGCAAACGTCAAGCTGGCTTGGATCCATTTTGGAACTTGGTCATTTTTTGGATGCCATCCGAACAAAGCTTTACTGATGCTCTAGGCATAACGCCAGTGATCATGTCACATCCTACCGACACGATAATGGATGGAAATCCCACTTGCACTAATAACCGATGGCGCACTGATCACCCATCACTTTCCTATACCCTGTAGGTCCAGCTGGGCAGCTCAAGCCAGGGAATAGAGCTAATTTGCATGTTGGGATCTCCCAATGTGGGTGGATTCCTTCTCAATCCTCCGCTTGATGAAGATCCCCAATCAACGATGAGTAAATCTCACCGAGCTCTGCTGATGTCAGATCAAATGTCTCCGCCGGGTTAGCGTGGCATTATGTATCTCTGATAGCTTGCAAAGGTAGGTGATATTCCAACCTAATAAGAGGATGCGCCCTTCTTACCTGCCCTCTGTAAGTCGGAAGCACTTGGGGATCACAATTGGAGACATTTCCGCGTTTCCTCTTCAGCATCACCAAAGACCTTTCACATGGCGGACGACGACTCGAAGACTGTGGGTGGCCACATCGGCGTTGTCGGCACCGGCGCATTGGGACTCCTCGCAATAAAGAACCTCAAGGAGCAAAACCTCAAAGTAACCGCGTTTGAGCAAAATGATCACCTCGGTGGGCTATGGCACTTCTCGCCCAGACTAGATCAAGTCACCGCACTTCCAATGACATCTTTCAACACCTCAAAACAGATGGTGAGCAAGGCTTGACCTTAATGCATCAGCGACGTCTGGTACTCATGCAAATATCAGGCGCACATCACAGACTTCCCCTTCGCGGATGGTAAGATACTTCATCCTGGCCGCATGGGTATAATCGTTGCTAACGTTGCCATGTGGTCTTAGATGATGCAACACACCCCACTGCGAAAAGTATCGAACGGTACCTCGAAGCTTACGCAAAGGAATTTGATCTTCTGCCTCATATCAAGTTCTCCACCAAAGTCAACAAAGTAGAACGAGATAACGTCAACGGGAAATGGGTCATACATACGCTCAACACACTCCCAGGCATGGAGACCGGTCTTCAAAAGCATGTGTTCGATCGAGTTGTGCTGGCCACTGGAATCGTCAATACTCCAATGATGCCATATATCAAAGGCATTGAAAAGTTCGAGGGAGAGGCCAAGCACTCGATTGAATTCAAGGACCCATACAGATACTCGGGCAAAAACGTTCTGCTCATCGGGATTGGGGCTACAAGTGCTGACACGCAGTCGTTTCTCAAGAAGGCAAATGCTCGCTCAATCACAATCAGTCATCGTCAGCAGTTCTATCTGGTAAGTTGCCGGACTCTCGAATGTGATTCTACCTTGTAAGGGTATGGTTCTGAATGCGATCACAGGTCCCAAAAATGGTCCGGGGTAACGCTTTCGACCACAGCATGACGCGCCGTGCCCTCACAATCTTCCGAAGTCTAGGTGATTGGTGGCCGAGGGCTTGCGCCATGGTCTTCACAAACGCTTTGGATAGCGCCCGAAGGAAAGCATATCCCTGGCTCAGCAAACATCCGTCGTTTGTGGCTCCCCGGGTTCTCGCAAGCGCAGAGCATCGGATTCCGGTTCTATCAAATGACCTCGCTGAGAACTTGAGGGACGGTATCACTCGTACTGTTCCTGGGGTGAAGGAAGTTACTGGGCCCAAATCGGTCACTTTCACAGACGGTACAGTTCTAGACGACATTGATGCCATCATCATCTGCACGGGATATGAATACGACTTCTCGGTCATCAAGGGCCCAGGTGACCCTACCGACCCTGCGAAAGCTCCCGATCAATTTGAGCGCATCAACGCAACTCGATTCAAGGACCCTCATGTCCAATTCGCTCGCTTGTATCGAGGGTTTCTGTCAGAGGAGTATCCTGAATCACTTGCGTTCATCGGCCACTTCTTCATCCTGAAGGCGCCATTTGTGTTCAATGACCTCGTCACGATGGCGCTCGCTAGTCTCTGGAGCGGAAAGGTTTCTCTCCCCTCCGCCGACGTGATGACGCAAGACATCAACAAACACTACGACACCGTTGTGGATACCCTCGGACGCGGGCCGCTACCCCACCTAGGATTTAGGATGTTCGGCAGCGACACTTACACATGGTTGAACAAGGTTGCAGGAACCGGGGTGACGGAGAGGGTTGGCTGTTTCAGTAGGGAGGCCTGGAAGCTTTGGTGGAGCGACCGAAAATTCTACAACTTGCTCATGGACGGTGCCGATTCACCGGCGGTCTACCGGCTTTTCGAGACGGGGCGGGGCCGGAAGGCTTGGCCGGGGGCCCGCGATCAAATTTTGAAGGCTAATAGGGAGGTGAAGGAAATGAGCGAGGAGTGGATGAAGAAGAACGGTGCAAAATCAAAGTAAACTTGCTGGATTTTCTGTATCAAGTATATGGCAACGAATCATTTCATGACATTGAAATAGGCACTGTCAGTTATAGGTAGCAGTAAGCATCTAAGGCAAGGCATCCACTTCCAGGTGTTCACGCTCGTTTTTAACTGTGCATATTATGATTAACGACGAGTGTTGCATATCTCTGATACTAGTAGCATGGTAATAGAAGGTCATTACCCCGAATGTCCCTATACTTTCACGTGAGGGGTGATAGTAGTGGTCATCAGACGATCGGCTATTCGTGAGCCATTTCAGCAAGCATTACTCCACTTTCTCCGCGGCACGACATCGAAGAGAGCAATGTCGCCATCACCACAGCGAAACCGGAACAGACAACGCTCTCGATATCTGCTGTCTAGACATGAGAGACTCAACTTCAACAGAGCCAACGAGCTAACTTGCATTGACTAGCCGGAAATCAGCAGTATCTCCGGATAGCATACACTTCTTGAGCTTTCAACTGTTACAGGAGACACCTGGCACACCCTGTGTACCACTATGGCCACCGCTACTTTGGCCCGTCCAGTACAGCCGGACATTCAGTATGCCCCTGACTACCAGAAATTCCAGGCTCGGACTGCGCGCCGAGTCCAGGAGCCTGGCCTTCCCAAAAGCCTGCCCGAAGGCCTTCCGCAGAAGTTCACGAGCGATATGGTCTGGGAGGGAGCAACATTAGCCAACGAGTACAATTGGACGTATGCCCTCACAACGGAACAGCTTGACGAACTTGACGCAGCGCTCGCTCACTTCAGAGGTAGGATGGATTGCCTTACATGAGACCCGCAAGATGGGAACCGGTAGCTGATCAATCCACGAAGCGCTGAATCTGCCGCTCGGCCACATCAAGCAGGAAAACTTTCCCCTACCTAAGCTCCATCCCGAGCTTCGAAAGCTCTCATACGAGTTGCACAATGGGCACGGATTCTTCGTCATCCGTGGTCTCCGTGTGGATGAACACACAAGAGAAGACAACATCATCATCTACGCAGGCTTGTCCTCGCACATCGCACCACAACGCGGTCGCCAGGACAGGCAATATGATGGGAAACCAGCTGATGTAGTTCTCACTCATATCAAAGACTTGACTTTGACGAAGGACAAGGGCCAAATTGGCAGTCCTGCTTACACCGCGGATAAGCAAGTATTCCATACGGATGCCGGAGACATTGTCTCCCTATTTGCGCTCTCCACTGCTGCGGAGGGCGGCACGAGCAAATTGGCAAGCATTGCGAGGGTTTACAACGAGATTGCTAGTACGCGTCCTGATCTCATCCATACCCTCACGCAAGACTGGCAATTTGAGGTGTAAGTAGCTACATGCCGACGGGAATGAATCGATGTAACGAGACGAGCATCAGCTAATGATTTGTTTGATTGCTAGTTTTGGCAAGCCCGAAAAGTCCTTCACTTCCCGGCCTTTGGTGCATTACCAACCTGCTACTTCAACGACGCCTCAGCGTTTAGCTGTGCAATACGCTCGTCGCTACTTTGTCGGCTACGGCGCCCTCCCTCGAAGTGAAGAGATTCCGCCAATCTCCGAGGCACAAGCGGAAGCACTCGATACTCTTCATTATCTCGGTGAAAAGTTTGCCGTCAACCTGGATTTCCAGAAAGGCGACATTCAGTATGCCAACAACATGGGTATCTTTCATGCCAGGGATGGGTTCACCGATACTCAAGAGCAGCAGTAGGTTCATGCCTCAAATTTCATTGAGTTCGAGAGCATCATCGTGTTAACAAGTTGTTTCTCAATCGCCATAGACGTCATCTGCTACGACAGTGGTTGCGCGACCCAGAGTATGGCTGGGAGACGCCAGAGCCATTGAAAGAAAGATGGGCTCAATTGTACGAAGGCGTTACTCCGGATGCTCAAGTATTCCCTCTAGAGCCATTCATCCGTAGCGAAGGAAACAAGAGTAAAGGAAGGTCATGAATCGGCCTTTCGTAACCATCTCTGCCATATTATGGATGTATGACGCTTTGGTTACTAGGAGTCGTGTCTGGGCAAGGTGCTCATGAACTTGATGCTTACAACCCGGCCTAGCCAATGAACAGCTGCGTCTCTATAGGTGCATCCTAATGCCAGGAGATTGAGATGATCATGGCCACTCGAGTACTCGTTTGGGTTTGGGCAAAGGGCGTGCCAAGGGGCTGGTACACGTGCCAATTTTTTGTAGTGAAGTTGACAGGAGGAGCATATGTACAGCTTTCACCACCAAGTCCCCACTCAATACATCTCGCCCGCCCGTGGGTCAACTGCCTTACCAATAGCTAAGTACTTTATAAAATGATGAGGATACGAAGCGTGATACCATATTTGATCGAGTCTTGTTGGGACTGAGGCCTTTATAATACTGGCGTATCCTACACATCAGGAATTCCCAGTCTATACATCGAGTTTGACCATGACGCCAATGCTCTTTCCAAAACCTTGGTACTTTTGCAGCGCCGCCTGTGCCTCCGGCTTGGTCCAAGCAGCCTTTGCTTCCTGTCGCAGATGTTAGCAGTGAATACATATAATCTAAGATCGTGGCAATTATGTGGAAGGCTCACATCATCACTGTCCCATCCCAAGATACCCAAGCCAGTTGACTGACCTCCATCGACACTCTTTCCTCCGAAGTGGACGGTCTGGCCGAGGGCAGCGACTAGGTCCATCCAGGCCTGCTTCGCTTCCTCGTGCTTACTCTCGTCTGCAACATCAATGAAGCAAAACTGAGTAAATGTCTTGGGCTTTTCACCGGGAAGCGGACCAGTCTCGAACTTTTTGACTCGAGGCTCGCCGCCGGGACTGGCCTTGAACTGCTCCTCACGCTCTTTGATCCACGCCGACTCAGCAAACGCCTTGTCATCTGCCGCGGACTCGAAAGCTGCGAAGAGATTTAGGTACTGCCAAGCAACTTGACTTCAGAAGGAGGATCTCACTTATCGTTTGCAGAAATTTGAAGTCTGTCACGGGTGTTCCGTTTTCGTTGATGACATGTCCACCAGCTACTCCAATAACGCCTGGCTGCTTCGCGATATCTTCCTTGACCTGCGGCCATGCTCCGAGGAACTCGTCCTTCTTGTCGGCAGGAATGTTGGGGGTGACGACAACGAGGAAAGGCATTTTGGCTTTTGTTATGTTCGGGGCTAGTAGAGACGATGGAGTTGTTTTCGTTAAGTCTTTTGGCGCTAACCGGTCTACGGTGATCTGCTTGACTTTGGTTTCGATGAAATATTGAGTCTGTGTTTGCTTGAAGTCGGTTGATGAATGCGGTCAATACGAGGTTTTTATGGCTTTCGAGAGGGGTTAATTCATGATTCAAAGACCCTGCTGTGGTCAGTCAACCACTGACCCCGACACCGACCGCACCTTGCACCCGGAAATCCCGGCGGTGCGGCATGACAGAAGCCAGGCGCCGTCAGACGAGTTGCGTCTTAGAAGCCCCCCTGGCAAAAGCTGAGAGCCACCAGCACGTCGCCGACCGACTCCAGGTCATCTAATGTCGAACCCCCTCCCGTCGCGGATGATACCACCGGCAACTAGGGACGGCTCTCAGGGTCCAACAGCCCATTGGCGGTGTCCACTAGGTAAGTTGCATGGTAAATAAACCGCGTGTATGCCGTATCGTGAATGCTTCAAGCCAGGAAGTGAAACCCAGGCGGAGCCGGGAACCGGGGGTCAGCCCAGTGTGGGGTACAGTCGCTGCCACGGCGGCGGAGGACGGGCCGGCGGGCTTTGACGAGACGGTCTCGGTTTTTCGTCTGATCCGTGATTTATGCCCCCTCCACCAAGCCGAAAGTCTAATTCACTCGGCAACCTGCTTGGAGGGCTGCATGAATCCAAGCCGGCAGCCCGGCGGACATAAGGTTGACTAGGTCAGGCCTAAGAAAAAGGGGTCCTTATGCAAGTAACAGCTGTCGAATCACCGCAGGCGAAGTACGTATGCTGCGCGAGGCAGTGCCAGAACCCCGAAGGTCTTTCAAGGCGCGAAAATTCCTAATCGAGTGCTTGACTGTATTCAAGCCAAGGGTTCATCTCGTATTGCCATGTATTACGATTTACGAAGCTGGAAACACCGGGGCAGAATGCGGGGACGAGCACATTGAGGCATGGAGCTGCGACTGAGTCTGACACATGAGGAAACGTTCCAGAACAAGTACAAACCTTCGGGGATATATCAATATTTCGGGGAATTAGCGAAGCAGCCCGTACTCATATCCAGACTCTACAATACTTGTAATGTTGCTGAGGAAGTTTGAACGTCTCAGGCTGGCGTGGAAAAAGTAGATGCGAGTACAATCAAATGGGCGAAGTCATGACTTCGAGCTTTTGCATCAAAGATCAGCAGTACTTAGACCTGGTCCACGGGCTGGATACTAGGCTAATGGCATGATTGTGATCAAGACTTTGTACTATTTTCGTCCCTCGAATGAAAGTGCTTTCTCCTTCGGCACAAGATATACGTGATGGGCAATGACCGACGCCTGCTTTACGATGTGGACTGGATTGTTCGGAGTTTCGGACAAAATAAGGTTACCGAATTAACAAGCAAACGCGTGAAGTAGCCTTGCTCCCCTTCGATACCGAGAGAACTTCCTGCGAACGACATTGAAGTCTTGGGAATAATGCATATGCACTGCTTCGAGTACATGGCTCGACCGGTCGAGTTGAAGTGGCGGTGTGAGATGGTTCAATGACTCGCTCCTGGCTATCACAAAGACAGGCCGATGCGCTACACAGTTCTGTCATCAGTTTTCCACTTAGAGAAGCCTTGCCCGAAGGTAGGATTTATTCTCACTATCGACTGCAGAAGAAAATCTGGCCAAGGGTTCTGATACTGTCACATATCAGCAAAGGGGTACGCATTATGTGCCTTTTCGTTCCGCCCGAAACTCGCCAGAGATCGTGTGTTTGTGTGTATGTAAAAGTGAGAGGGGAAAAAAAAGGGAGAGAGAGATGTTGTTGAAGACATACGACTCTTTGC